CTCTTTTTTTTTCGGCGTACCCGAAGGTCAGTGTGTGGTGTTCGATCGCATCTTGATCGTATAGATCAGAGGATACTTGATCGTATTTGCAGTGCACACGCCTTTTGCGTTTTACTTCTAGGTGTAAACTTGCAGCTCGTAGAATCCTTTGTGCAGTTTCATGAACGCACGGAGAGTGCAATGCACGTTCACGCCACCGCGTTGCAACCAAGCCTACCCTTACGGGCATCTATGGCCAATCCTGCAACATGAAGAAAAACAGAAGGTCAAAAAATGACTTTAGCCTACCGCGTGTTTGAAAATATCAAATTTATGTTTAAGTCTCATTTCTCTGTTTCAGATTACTCTTACTCCAGGAAGTGCTTCGGACGCCTATACGTGGCCCTTTGAACGGGTTGGTATGAGGCAATCTCGGTAATGAGTGGGTTTTCCAAGTCAGCTGCTTTTTCAAAAGAAAAAAAATTAACGTTTTTTATATCAGCAATGGCATTGATAATTCGCGATTTATAGTTTCGATACGAGTGTTTCTAGGGGCGCAGAGGGCAGCCCTGAGACATTCGTTTTGAACTACAAACTGTCAGCTCGTCGCTAGCCAAGGGCTCGCCGGCTAGTCGTTACGTAGGGCCGGTGTTGCGCCCGTGCGCGCCGACTGGAACATAACGCTTGCCCCGACTCCTCGGGCGACCTCTTTGGGGAGGTGGCCGCACTTTCCCCGAGCGCCGCCGTTTCGCCACCATTCCCTTCTTGTCGGTCCTTTGAAGGGTTCGCGGGCGACCACTACACTACACAGTGCAGACGGAGAACATATTCGTTAGAAGACACTAAGAGCAATTGAGATAGTGGCACTTGGGTAATCCTGAAGAAACTGAGCCACAAATCTCTCAGCCAGACAGCAGGTTGACTTTTCTTGTTTTCAGGAAGGTGGAGAAGTCTCTCTGCTACCGCAACAGCACTGTAGTCAACCAGAGAAGTAGTTGGATTTCATTGGAGCAATCAGAAAGCGAACCTCCACAGCCGGAGCAGGAACTGGTGGAGCACGATCCAGAGAAGCCGCAACAGCAAATAATGGACCAGCTGGCGCCAGTTGGAACATCTGGAAGCCTGGCATGATTGGCCAAAGCCCATAACCACACCTCAGAGAAGACGTATCAGCAGTTTATGGTCCGAGGACGACCGTCGTAGCAGCCTGATTCAAATAGGTCCAAGAAGGGGCGCAGCAGTTAAAAACAAAAGTCCGGCGGAATTTCGGTTCGGTCGTCGTGTAAAAATTGAGATTTTGAACAGTTTTAGCTGCATCTGTTATGCTTATATCCAAAACCACAAACGAGGCAAGATAGTCAGAAAATCGCAAAAGGGAATCTTTGTTCTCTGTGATCTGGATAAGACAAGTTATACGATCTTCCTACAAGATGAAAACGACAAATTGTGTCTGGAATGTCATGTATGATGAAAGCACAAAGACTGAGGGAGGATACACCGAATTGAATCTCGTATAAACAACGAACCAGAACTATCTACAGATGAAGAGGACATTAGAAAGGAAAAGGAGTTCGAAGGTGAAGAGGACTCTGGAAATGTAGATCGATTAGAAAATGATGACTCAAACTACATCGATGCTTTAGAAAATTCAGATTCGTCAGTTACCCCGGAACAAAGTGAAAACTCACATCGAAGCCTCCTAAACCTTTAGAAGACCAATCATGTATAGAGACAATGCGACTATGATTGGTGAAGTCATGGATGTTCCAATCTCGACAGCACTCAAGGGCCAGAAGTGTATGAAGGCTATGACTGAAGAATTTGTCACAGATGTGAAGACTTGGAATCTCGTGAGAAAACCCGATTTAGTCAAACCTTTGACTTGGCGAGGGTTTTGAGAAAAACACATGAACGTGCGAAGGTAAGACACGTTGCAAGAGGTTTCAAGCAAGAAGAAGGGGTAAACTGTTCTGAAACATTCAGTCCAGTGGTAAGAGATGTTTCAAATAGTCTAATGTTGAGCTTTGCAGCTTCTAACCACATAAAATTGATGACATGTCATCAAGACCGCTTTCCTTTATGGAAATTTAAATGGAGAAATATATGTGTATCAGCCAGAAAGATTTAACGACAATAGTGGTCGTGTTTATAAACTCCTAAAAAGCCTCTATGGATTGAAACAAACTCCAAAAATCTGGAACGACAAGATTTCAACATCCTTGAAATATCCCCGATATCCTTGAAAAAGGAGGGCACCGATAATGACCCCTGCTTTTATTACAATAAGTCGAGAAGCATTATCATCGCACTGTTTGCTGACGATGGTCTCATAATTTGAAAGAATTAAGACGAAATTATGAAAGTCCTCATACAACTTAGGACTGAATTTGAAATGACCTTTGACAAGAAGGTCGGATTGGAATTTTTGTACTTAGGCATGCAGATAGAGGTCAATTCATGAGGATTTTTTGTAAGTTAACCCAAGTATACACGAAACATTCTATAAGCGTTATGGGTTTGATTCTCAAAATCCAGTATTCATTCCATTTGATTGTGGGATAATGACAGAACAAGGAAAATTTGTAAATGGCAAACCATTGGCTGGAGAAACTCCGTAACTAATACTTACAGAGAAGCTGTTGAGAGCATACTCTACTTTGCTACAATATCCCGTCCAGACACTAGTATTAATGTAACATATCTCAGCAGGTAAAGTAACAGTAAGCTAGTAGAGAGTCACTGAAATATGGTGAAACATGTATTCGCCTGTTTGGAAGGATCAGTCAATTGTGGAATCTCCTTCAATGGAAAAAACAACCTGATTGCATATACCGACTCGAACGACGGAGGACATCCAGAAACCCTTCATTCAACAAGTGGCAGGGTTCCCCTTCACTCAACAAAGGGGTCTTATTATACGCGGTGTACCAGATGTATGGTATGTTCAGAAACAGAGATTAACGTCGACTTCAACTGCAGGAGCATAATACAGAGCAGCTGTATCTGCTATTGATGACTTATGTTGAATTCGTCGCATCGGAAGAGAGTTGAAAATACTGAAGTCCAGACAACCCACAACCATGTATGTTGATAATCAGTCAGCAATACACATGCTTAAAAATACTCATGAAGGGAAGATCAACAAGGTTAAAAAGCATATAGAGATCAGGAGGAAGTTCATTCAAGAACACATCGGAAAGACAGTGAGACTGGAACACGTCGAGACTTCGCAGCAGCTGAAGGATATATTCACCAAGCCTCATACGCGCACAATTATTGAAAATTTACTTTCTCAAATAATTAAGAAGGGTGTTAAATGTTAATTATCTATCGTTTGCAAGTTACCTTAAGTCAAGTCAAACTATTAAGTTGGTATTATATTAATAAAAGTCAGATTAAGTTAAGATAATAAAAGTGTCATGTTGGTAACACTGATATGAATGTAATATGCGCGAATGCTATCTATCGTTGTTCTTCTTTGTACCGTTCGTCAAGCGAGCAACATGTAGTTCGTATGCCTTTGTAACAAAAATGTAAATTCGTTATGGGGTATATAGAGTCAAAATACTCACATTTTATTGTTAAACTAAACTGTGTTATGCGTTTTCAGCGCTTTTTGTTGTAATTCAGAAACATGAATTTGTTGCCATGTTAGTATATCGTTTTCGCTCAATCTCTAAACCAATAATTTGCAAGACAAATAATGTGAGATGTATGCGGTGTTGAACCAACAGATCTTGTTTAAGTCCAATGTAATCCTTTTACTGTTTTCGTATTTTTATAAATCGAATTCATAAAATATCTTTTTTGCTTGGCAGAGTGTATAAAGAATACGAATGACACGCATTGGTATGAAGTATACTACTACAAAGAGTTTCGTTTCATTTCATGTCCATACAACCTTAGTAAGGAACTAATGCTCCACACAATATATTTCTGATTACCTCAATGTAGCTTACTGTTTCTACTCTGATACATCTTTAACCAGTGCTTGATTTATAACATTTTAGGTCCCGGACGCTCCCTAAATTTGTCTATTAATTAATAGAAATAGTTACACATTTATAATCTAATTTAATAATGATTTCTGAGGTACCGGAACGTCGTTTCCTCGCGTTCCGCCACAAATCAAGCCATGCCTTTTACTATTATTATTTCGTTTTTGTTTTTTGGTTGTTGTTTTTTCTTTCCGCAATAGTCTGCCTTCTGGAGACTCTCTCTCTCTGAGTTTTCCGCATCTGAATTTTGGCGAGGATTTTTTGAATAAGTGCGATGCCGATAGGATAAGTGACAGATCGCCCTAAAGATCGAATGACGAAAAAATAGAGATGGAGGGATTTTTGGCCCGCATTTTAAGGTGCTGCGTTGACACTCGCCTGTGTTCAGGAAACCAAAGGAAACCACTGACCACATCTTGGAATTTGATTCCTGCAGGCGCCACAAAGTCACCGATGTTGAACACATCATCTAAATGTCTGGCACATTGCCGGAATCGTACCCGCGACCTTTAAATTACTGGTACCTTTGAGACGTAATCCTTTCCTTTACGATCGCATCTTCCAGTGCTGATTTCTTTAGGGCACATTTTAAATCTCCCGCTAGAATTTGTCTCAAAATCTATAGTCAGCGTACATTTTCTTGAGCCCTGATTTCACCACATGCTTGAAGAGTAGATATTTTGAAATTTCGATGGCAAAACTATCTAATAAAATCTGTGGAAACTTTGTCGATGAAAATATTTTCTTTCACAATGGAGTGATAATTGAGATTATCAAATGTTGTCAACAATGCTCGTTGCTTTCTTTTGTTCACAATTGAACTACGTTTGTAAAGAAGTAAAGGTATGGATTCTGGAGCTCAAAAAAATGTGTTCTTTTAATACAATCCAGTACAATTGCCCATCCAGAAATATAAATAGAGATCGGTGGCTTTTTTATTTTATTTATATATTTATTTATTTTTTAAATTTTTTTTGAGTCTTTCTATACGTGAAATACTTGACTGTCATTGGGTAGTTTTCGTTTGCTTTGTTCGGGAGCAGTGGCTTATGGGAGGAATGAAATGGTGCATATGGACGTGGTGTGGCTTTGGTGCTGCGGTGCAATGTAGAATGGTGTAAAATGTTATTAGTGCGGTGGTACTTCTGACGTTGTGCTTAGATTCATTTGTCACGTTAGGTTGTTGGACAAAATTACACCTTGGGTTTACAGGTATTTGGAATTGCACGTGCCGAACCTTTGAAGGGATAATGGGTTCTCTTAAGAGATGCGGTACGGGTCAAATGTTTCACATACAAAAATGATTGATGTTGTGGAGTGATTTGTGTTATTATGCGACAAGTATAATGTTTACAACGTTGTAAATGTGTTGAGTGTGAATTTTTTTTCTAAGTGGTGTTGACAGTTCATTTATAATTTATGTCTTTGCCAGTTGTAAAATAAATGCATGTTGACATAAGAAAGAAGTGTATTGACATAAACAGGACAGATAGGGTCAGCTTTACCTTGGTGTTTGACATTGGTCTGTCATATCATGCGTGTTTGAAGGAAATTGGCCAATTGATTCAAATCGGTAAACAATTGAAATATTTTTTGGCGCATGTTATTAAAGTTAGGCGGGGAACCGAACACTTGAATCGAAATATTTAAGGAATTGTCAGAAATATCTTGTGCCATTATTATTGTCCTAGAACGAAAAGTGTGACGTGTTCTTGCCGGCTTGTTGTTGAAATTGTGTTCATAGTTTATATTTGGTGAGAACTTTTATTATGAACATTTTTCACATTCCTCGGAACATAAATTTTACCGTCTTCGTTGATGAAAGAAGGTATTGATTAGCGTTATCTTGTTCTTTTCAATCCAAGACATTGTGTCAACAGTGCACCCTATTGTGTTTCATGTTTGAGATGAAAAATCTTCCCAATCAAAGAATTTATATTCTTAGGTGTAGGGTAGCACTTTATGGGTAAAAATATTGTGCTCATTATATGTTCCATTAGTCAGACCCTCATGTGTAAGTATATGCCAGTCGTTTCATTGGAATCTTGTGCTAGTCATGGAAATTGTATGTCTATCTATATTTTGTGGAATCTTACAAATGTTTATTCCGCATTTGCTTGTTTCCCCATCCTCAAAGCCAATTTCTTTTTGTAATTCTTAATTTATTCAAAACAATTTCCGCATATTGATCTCTTGGCAAAGGAATATTTCCCTCGGGCTTATTTAAGTCTTCTAAATTTAAGTTTTTGTGTCAACTCTTCAAATCAAATTTTCAAACATTACACAATATGAGTCACTGCAACTTGCTTAATTAATTGAACAGCGTAATGTTTCTCCCAAAAGTTAAACGTCTGGTGGAACAGAGTTTCTTAAATTCTCCAAATTTGTTTTCAATAGTCCCGAACTTAAATGGGAAACAAATGTTCACTTCATTCATATTTGTTTTTCTGAAGTGTTACTTTATACTTTATATTCTTTATATTCTTTTGGAACTGTCATGACTTACGTAATATAAATAATGAACAACAATTTGTATTTAGGAAATATGTCATCAGTGTTGCATTGCAACGACATTGCAATTTCTCATTATAAAGATGATTCATGTTTTTGAGACTAAAGGACTTAACTAAGATTCCTTCTGTGATTCAGATAATGCCATTGATATGTAAACATTAATTTACTTTCAAATTAATTCAATTATGATTAATACAGATCCTAAATTTTTAAGATTATATTTACATGTAAATAGTTTTCCTAAAATAATTATATTTAGGCTTGAATCCCTGGTTCTTTGATTCTTAACAATGAAAGATCTACCATCTTTTGTATCTGTTCTTTCAATATTTTTTATTTTTTAAAATATTTTGTTTCCTGAATAAATGTTAATTTTTTAATATTAAAAATTTGAAAATCTGAACGTATTTGTGATTTAAAGTCTGCTGAATGAAAGTGAAACTGAACATGAAGTTGTCAGAAAACTGTTTAAACTAAGACTACATGTTTTTCATCTGATAAACGCTTTGAAAAGTTGCAAGATATGGTCATTTGGCCTTTTTCCTTTCATTCAAAATATAATTTTATTTAGTATTAAAAGTATAAAAATGATGCGATGAAATAACTCTTGCATTAACAATGAATAAAATCATAATATTTGCAAAATTTAATGCAGGTGTTTTTTCTTTCTTTCAAGATTTCCTTTGTCATAACTTTTCCTGTCAAATTGCTCTGAGAATCTCTCTTATCAACAACCCCCTTTTTTAATCTGAAGTGAGTTATGCGAAGTTGACCATGGGCAAAGAAGGATTCTCTTAAAAACACACTCTTGTTGAAAGATTAACCCCCACTGAACAAGATCAAGAGTGCAGGCAATCAAAATAAATTTAGGGAAACCTGGTGTGTCTGTATTTTTCAAATTCCTCAATCCCCAAACTTACTGCAATCGCATGTTTGCTAATACCAATCTCGCTCCTGCTACCATATTGTCAAGAGTTGGTTTGTTGTGAAACATTATTCACATAATCAAGATTTCTAATTTTGTAATTCACAATTTATTAACATGTTCCATACAAGTACTCATACAAATACTTTAGTGGCAGATCCAGGGCGATGTGATTTTCCCTCTGCAAAGCCAACTTATTTTGTACTTTTACTAAAGTTATTTAAAACAATTACTTCATATTGATTGCATGGTAACCGAAGGAGTATTTTCATCTTGAGTTTACATATTTTTAAATTTAAAGCTAACAATTTTTTTTATTGTTTTATAAAAGTAGTTTCTGGGACTATTTGTGAACTAAAATTTTCTTTCTCTTGAAATATTTTATGGGTCTACCGCTAAATTACATTTGCTTCACTGAGGTCAAGATCCATTTGCTTGAAAACTGTATTTTATACATCAATTCGATATATCAGTATCGATATACTAATTCTTGTTTAATATTATTTTTCACATCTGCACTTTCTCAAATTAGAAAACTTTAAGAAATAAAAGAATAATTTTTAATTTAAGGGAATGAAATTCTAGATTTATACTTAAACATTTCACTATTAAACTTTGAAACTCTTACAGAAAATATAAGGCGGACTTTTTTTAAACTTTTCCCTGAGAAAGTAATAGAGGACAATTTTTGAAAACTCAACATATATACAAACCTTACAAAATAGAATTGTACATGAAATTGTATGGTTGTGAAGTAAGAGAAATTGAAAGGAATAATCAGTATTAGAAATAAATATAACATTTATGTGATTTCATTAAAATATACAAAATATTATTCACAATGATATTTACTGGGAGGAAGGTTTTGCAAAACTCAACATTACACCACTTTGAATAGCTTTTATAGTACTTTATGGGGAATTTTGCTATTCAAGTGTAGATAAACCCTTGTGAGGGTCTTTATACTATATTTCTCTCAGTTATTGAGTCCTAATTTTTGCTGTGGAATGATGAAAAATTTTCAGAAAGATTTTATAACTAGAAAATGATATCGATCAAGTTTGTTAAGGATCATTTTTGATGTAGATTATTGTATATATTGGGGCTCTGTACTAAAACATATGTCACTCAACGATACCAAACTATTTTACCAATAATGAGAAGCAAGATTGACACTAAACATTAAAGAATCAACATTGCCAGCAATAACTGTTCATAACATTGATTTCTAACAATTATAATTTTGATCCATTTACTGTGACAATTTTTCTCTGCTTGTCAAAGAGAGCACAAATTAATGTTTATAGTTAATATGATTTTCATTCACACTTCCATGAAAAACAACTGAAAATTAAGATTTTTTTTAATATTCACTAAATTGTATTGAAACAACAAATTCTGTTTTTTTAATGTACGTGAATGTGGAATTTTCTTTAGTTGGTACTTGATATTTCTGAATATTATTAATTATTAAAATCGCTTGTTTTCTAAATACAAGTTGGAATTTATCCATTGCAGAGACTAGACCAAGTGCAAAATTAGTAATTTCTATGGTAGAGTAAGCGGCATTCCACTTAATGTTTTTATTTTCGGTTATGTTTACGTTGTTGTGAACATTTTTGTCATAAATTCATTATCAGTATTTCTTGCTATGTCATTTTGCTACTTGTTGTTATGGACTGTACATACAGTAATCCATTTTTGTCCGTCCATTAATCCAGTACATCCATTTTCGTTTTTCCTGAGATGATCCAATTGTTAATGTGTGTGTGTTTTTTTATCATTTGGATTAGTGCCATTCTAACATAATCATCATTGCCTTCACTGCCAGAAAGATTAGTCTGATACGTTTCCATTTGAAATTTCAAATAACATGTAAATATCAATCTCCAGAATGCATGCACCCCCATTGTGCCTCCTTGAAAACTTTGAAAGAATCTTATCTAATAAACCATTTTATTGCCATCAATATTTAAAATTCCTAATAAAAATTATGTATAGAACTCTGATACATTTTGATATTCACAGTGATGATGACAAATTAGTACTCACAGTATTGTATCCATATATTGTGACCCTATCACTATGTTTTATTAAATATTTGTGGGTTGTCTAGGGATATAAAATTTGAAAAGTTTCAGAGTTTTACCTAGTTGAAAAAGTCAACATTTATTGTGCTCTAGTCATTACCTCATTCATTCACTATGTTTCAATAATTACAACTATTTTTTGTTTATTTATGATAATTTTGTACTTAAAAATAAGCAAGCAAATTATGTATCTAGTCCCAAAATAAATAATTTTTGTTAACGAATCACGTCCATTAAGACATGAAAACTGAACTTCTTGAGAAAGAATACAAACCAAGGAATATGGTGAAGCCATTTTCTACAGTTTCTGCAAATTATAACAAGTATTATGAATAAGTAAAATATTTGAAGCACTCAGTATTTGTGTTCAAAACTGAAAATGTTAAATGTTAACCATAAAGATTTGGTTATTTTAATTATATTTCTAAGAAATTTAAGACATGAATTGCATACAATATACTATTCTTCATAGTCAAGAAAAGACAACAATTACAAAATCTAGAATTATAAGTTAATAAAAACTGAATTATATATGGTATTCAAGCCATTGAAAGTTTTAACCGTTAACTAGTTAAAATAAATTGTTGGTGGGAAAAAAGTTTCTATCTATATAACTGCATGCAGCAAAGGTTTCTTGCTATGAGAATATTGAGTCTGCACTTTCTCAAGTGTTTTTTAGAAGCAAGGAATTTTCTTCGACCGTAATCTCTGGTATCTTTCATTTTCACTATCTTTCTTTTTCTTGGTTTCTGTCTTCTTCTTCTGAAAAAGTGTTGTTTTTTCTCAAAACAACACTAGTGCCTAAACCATACATAGGATTTTTTCCAAAATGAATACTCCCTTGTCGATACGGCTCAACTTGGCCCTTGTGATATTGAAAAACTTTTTTCAAAAATTGGGGGTACTTATCATGAACCCCCATGGGAGTTTTCTCAAAAGTGTCTCCAAATTTTTTCTTTAAATTTAGAATAAAATGCACTTGTAAGGGAGTCATTTGTTCAATTTTCAGTGTTAATTCTGAATTTTCAAAAATTTTGAATTTTTTTGGGCGTCTTCATAAAACTACAAAATTGAAGATAGAGGTTTTTCCTTCAAATAAAATTTGTTCTCCAAAGTGAGTGCTTTCATTAGGATCCTGCACATTTTTTTGAAACCTTTAGTTGTTTTTACACAATATTGCTAGCAATATGTGCAGTTTTAAAAAATAACAAAAACAAGATTTTTTCCAAAATGGCTTCAAAGTTTTTTTTGTGGGGATAGTTCTAAATATACTCTATAAAATGACATAAACACCATATTGCTGTATTCTTTTGAATTTTTTTCCCTTTTTTTTTCTTTTTCTTTTTTTTTCAAAAATACAAAAATTTATTTTCTTGACTTCTCTCTCTCTTTGTTAATATTTATATTAGCAGCAATTTGTTCACATTATTATATTTATGTGTACATGTGCTTAAAATAGTGCCATATAAAGTTTCTCAAAAACTCAACCGTATTCTGTGCAAACTAGCTCAAATTTCTGCATTTTCAAAAATGCTCAAATAGCATTTTCTAAAAAAAACTGCTTCAAATTTTTCGAAGAAAATTGTCATTTTGGATGAGTTTTTACTGTTCTTTAATATGCTTAAAATAATATTTTCGTTCCACTATTAGTCAAATGAAAAATTAAGAAACATTTTTAAAAAATGTATATTCGGCAGTGATAAATGACAGCTGGCAAGAGTGTGGCAAATCCAAATAGCTAGCAGAGACAAAGAAATAGAAAACAAATAGGGAAAGTCTGTGCCATTCTGTAGTGTCACTGGTTCCCTGTTGAACACTTATTTGTGTCCTCCGATTCTTAGCAAGTTCTTTAACATTCTTTAATAGAATGATATTGAAATTTGCATTGTTTAATTTTCACATAATCAAGTTTGCAACATCTTATTTTGCCAATCACCAAACTGCTTTGAAATTTATTCCCAAAGTAATTTTTGAGTGTCTTACAAATTTATAATTCTGTTATACAAAAAATAGCATATGTATCTCATCTATAATGTTGTTTTCTTTTGTACAAATTTGATAACTCACTCTTAATGTCACTGTCTTCAAAAAGTGTAATTATGCAATAAAGCATAACATTAAAAACCGGATGCATAATATAATATTACTATACAATGTAGCAGGTTGATGTCATACATTAACAATGAACTTGTCAAATGCCACTTAATCCTCATTTTAAGTTTCATTCGTTTAAACAATCTATATAGTAAGTATATTGTTTCTCTTAGTGTTCCCAAAAAAGTGCAGTGTGACAGAAATTCTTGCAATCAGAAATTCAGTTGTGCTCTTTGTATTAATAAATGTGTGTTATTTGCCCGAGTTTCTTGTTCAACTGTCAAAACAACAAATCTGTTTTGTGAAATGGCCATTGTTGAATTTCTATTCGTAATTTTAAAGATATGTTGTCCTTGAAAATGTGGTTTATTTAACTTAAGCATGTTCTGTACATAGTTTTATGATTTGAAGATTATAGTGTGTGTGTGTGTGTTGTTGTTGTTTTTTATCTTGTAAATTAAATTGGTAAATGAATGTGTGTACAGTAGAATTTTTTTTTTCAGTTTACATATAATTTTGTAGGAACAGAACTTTGAAAATCATCATTTTGCCATCATTGCAAAGCTTTCATTAAAACAAAGAACAGTTCACATTATCATTGATTGTGAATGGTTGTTTGTTAATATAAGTAAATTGAAAAGCACATTCCACAACTTAAAAACTCTAAAACAAATGTCTCAAAATGAATCATTTTCGGATGTGATAATTATAATTTCTTCATTGTTTAAATGAACTTGATATTGACTCGATGTACACTTCAAATGTTTAAAATAGATTAAGAAATCTTTGCAGACTAAATTGAAATGAATTGTGGATTTTATACATTTTGATGTTGCTTCTCAACTCATTCTTTATAAAAATTGTATAAATGCAGGCAACAAATTATATTGCTATGGAAGAATAGTGTATATTTTAACCTAAAAAAGTGCTTGCAAAACATGAAGACCTGTTCTGTGATGCAAATTCCTAGAAGGATTCTTATTTGAAAAATACTTCATTAAGTCTATTATAGTTCGCGTAATATTGTTGGAAATGTTTCTATGAACACGAGATTCATAAAGGATCACTGATTGTATGTACAAATTGATCATATATAGTCTGTTTCTTTAAATGACCGTATTTTGTTTTGAAGTTGAAGTGGATATGTTGTTCAAAGTATTATAGAATGACTTGAGGATGTTGGACAATGCTGTTCATTGATTCAGCATTTCTTGAAAGCCATATAAAAATAATACTTAATAACCGAAATAGCTTTATGTTACTGAAGAAAAAGATGTTGAAATTACATTTTAATTCAGTTCAATATAAAAAAAAATGAAGGTTTCAAATTGATTGCTCAAGATTATTTTCAAAGTTTCTTGTCTTCTATATAATGTCTTTAATTAATTTATAATTTTCATCATGATATAGGGGGGCAGTATGGAACAGCAGACTTTCGGGGGTCCAGCTTCAGTTAATAATGTAAGAGAAAATCCATCATCTGATATAAGAACAATCCAACCCGTAGTGTCTTCCTCCCCAGTGGATAACAACATGCCTGCTTCTCAGCCACCAACAAGTACCACATTGAAAGCAGATTTGGAGGATCCTCCACCTATTCAACAGGTGGTGACAGGTTAGTTTTTACCATGACAAAATTATGCAAGTATGCTTTCTTACTAGAAATGCGTTTTGAAAGGGCAATGGAGTATACCCAGTAAATTGATGATTATTATTATGATGGTCATTGTTCAAATTTATATATTATATAATAATTGGGTTAAATATGAATCAGAATATTTATTTCTGTTACACTAACCTGCCATTAATATTATTTTGGCACATTTTTACGTAGTCTGTAAAAAATACTTGACTTCACATTTTAAATCGTATGTTCACTGTATTTATGGAATATACTTCCTAAAGTCCACATCTGTCATTTTTGTCACATTTGATGCATCAGTGTTGTCATCTGTTGGGGTGTAAATTGCTTTACTTTCCAAATCTTATTTCGTAGGGGAACAATTATGGTTATTTCCAAAGGCCAGCATATTTTCTGCTGAATTCATTCTAGAATTTTGACACTTTTTTTCTCTTTTCAAATGTAGATGAGTTCCTTAAATAATTGCCTCTTTTACTTCCAATAATTCCTTAATAATTGCTTTTTCCTCAACATCTTTGTTCAAACCTCTAATCATGGGGCATTTCAAAATAAAATTCTGTAAATAACTATGCTTATAAAGAAGCTTATCTTCTGTTTTCGTTAAGTGAGAGCGAAATTGAAGAAGCAGCATGGATAAATTTAGCGATATTAAAACTTTTACTTTGCTGAAAATAGTTACCTGTAAGAGAGTCAATAAAGAAGGGAAAACTATATTATAGGGCTGGAAAAAATCATGATTTTTGTTCAATAATCAAAAAATCTGATTTTTTAAAATTTAAAACAGATTTATTTGATTTAAATTTGTTTTTAAATTGTATTAGATGTTTTCAATTTAAACCATAATCGTTAAGTGATTTATTTATCCTTAATTACTTAAAAAGCATAAAAAGTTTATTAAAACATCGGTTTTAAAATTTATGAATAAATTACTGTAATTTTATATTAAAAAAATATAATATGTATTTGAGGGGTCAAGTGCAATACTGTCCTAACCCACCAAATCTGCAAATGAGTTATAGTTTCGTGCTCTTTAAACACAATTCGTGTGTCCACAATACCAAATAAGGTTGTGTCACCACCAATTAGCATGATTTAGAAGAAAGGTATTCCTCATTTGAAGAAATTTTACCATTTTTACTTGCACTTACTAACATAAAAAGAGAATGTATTGTAATTGTATGCCCGAAAACTTCGAATTTTCGACACAAAAACTTCATTGTGAGGCCCTGGTAAGGGAAAGGTGGATAAATCTAGTTGCTAAATATAGAAAAAATTCCTCTTGACACTTTGGATAGCCAGAATCCATGTTTTGTGCCTCCGTACCGAAAAATTGATTCATAGCAAAACAAGTCTCAGGCAAAAGCCTTTTGTACAAAATTAGCTCTTTAAAAAAAGTCATGCACAATTTTTTGAAAAATGAGTAGTTTCAAAATGTACTTTTTTCTCAAAAACTTCTCCAAAGTTTTCTTTAAATTTCCTTCACTTATGGAAAGAGACTAAAAAATATGGTGCTAGTCCTATTTTCGGGTATTGCTCGGTTTTTGAAAATAATTTTTTTGAAAACTACAAAATTAAAGATAGTGAACTTGGTCTGAGACATAGACTATTGTACAAAATTAGCTATTTAAAAAAGGTCATATTTTGACAAAACAAGCAGTTTTTGCGTAAATTGGAATTGAAATTGGTTCCTCAAAAACCACCAAATATGTTTTCTGCAAAATTTCTCCACAGATGTAATAAGTGATGGCAAGAAATATGGTGCTGGTCTCATTTTCGGGTATTGAAGTTAGATTTTTACCTCAAACAAAGTCTGTTGTTCAAAATTAGCTCTTCAAAAAAGGTCATGTACAATTTATGAAAAAACTAGTACTTTTTACATAACTTTTGCTTGAAATTAATGAAATTTATACAGGTTTTACACCAACTTGAGGCCACAAGAAAAATTGAATGAATGATAAGAAAAATTATTCATTTAATTTTAATTATAATTTACTATCGAAAAGCCAATATTAATTTTTAGTTAATTTGTATTCTCAATGTATTGATGTATTTCTTTTCAAGCAATTCACAAAGCTTAACAGAAATTTCACAACAATGCAGCAGCATTGATATTTGAGAAGCTAATTTTTATTGAACGTAGTGATGTTGGCGGTGATAAGATACAGCTGTTTTATTTAGTCCAGCTGGTGGTGGTGTAACTCCTAGGCCGAGAGCCAGTACTTCCATTTGCCATGAACTTCGCAGGTTTATTTTTAAAAATTACTCCTAAAAATATTTACTGCATAATGAAGTAAAGAAAAACGATGAAACTCTAAACTGTTATCTTAGGCAAACTCATTAAAGGCAACTCGCGAGTGAGCAGCCACAATTTTCGTAATTATTTGAATGTAAATAATGGATGATTTGGATGATTTAAATCGTACCGGACGTACTAGATTATAAATTGGTTACTGAAAATACATAATCGCATCAAAGGCAAAGTAGGGTAGGGGGTTATTTATTTCCCAGTTATAGTGTCTGTGACAGGAGTATATTGCAGATGTACTTTTCTGCCATGAATAATGAAACAGAACATTCTAAATTATTTGTTTAATTTAACAAAACCTTTAAAAATACTGTAAACTGGATTTTAAAACATATTTTTCTTTTATTATAGATTGCATACAATTTTTAGTTGAGTATGTTCATTACAGACAGGCTTTGAACAGATACATCTCTTTGTTTCCTACTTCATTTTCAAAGGCACAAATTACATTCTTTTTTGGCATTTTAAATTTCCTGAGTTGTGGGAGCTGTCTTCCCCTGATAACGTGTTATTGATTGAATTGAATTGAATTGAATTGAATTTGCTTTATTTGACATGGCGAGACTCAATCGATTAGGCCTGTTCTTCTGTCTGACCACGCAAATTTTGCTACGCTCCTTTCACCAACTAGCAGAGAAAGGAGGTATTTCTTGGGCGCGAAATAGGCTATTTGAATTTAGCTCAGAGGCATAATTTAGGCTTGAGGATCTTTTACATGCAAGTAAATCTACTAACGTGGGACAGCCGCCTCTCCGAAGGAAGGCGTACGAAGGATCTTTTTTGCCCTTAAAAATCCACGACTTCGATCGGGTTTGAACCCACCAACATGGGTACAACAGTCCGATACGCTAACCGTTACACCATTGCCGCGCGCAATTGATGGGGGAAACCTGTTATTCAATCCTTTTTGATTGTCTCCTTACATTTTGTGTACAATCCATATCCTTTGCAATATCAATAAATAATATTTCATATTTTATAACATTAAGTAATATCTCATATTTTCTAACATTGATTAAGGGTCAGCAACATACCTGTCACTGTGCAAAACTTAAAATTAAACCTCCGATCTTTCCCCCATAAAGAAGAAAATCTTGAAAAGTATAAAATTTGAATTGGTCAGGAGTTTATAAAAAAATATTAATATGTCAACACATTGAAAATAAACCTGATATCTGAAGTGTACAGACTGAATTGTTTTATTGAATCAAACACATTTGAAGATTAGGAATGCGTTGTTGCTAAAACTTTGTTTTTCTGCAGGATTTTAAAACAAAAATAATAATTTGTGGGTATTGGATATTTTTTTAATTGCACCCAAAATATATAAAAATCGACTCTTACTGTTCAAACACTTTTTGGATTGCAGACCTGTGTTATTATTGTTCCTAGGGGAAGATGTTCTTTTATTTAATAAATAAAAGATATTGTGATTCCTTTGTAGTAAAAGAAATGTTAAAGAAAAGTAGTGAATGGATACAATTTCTAGTAGCTAATAATAAAACTACTTTTTTTCAGCTCCTGTTTCCAGTGGTGGTCCCAATGTCCATCATGAAGATAAAGCACCAGATTCATCTGATAATGTTAAAACAAAGCCAACATGGCCCAAAGGCAAAAAGAGGAAGAAAGCCCCTCGAGATCAAACAGCCCCTAGGCAACCTTTGACAGGTATGGCAAAACACTTCTGTTCAACACTTACCATAACAATTCAAAAATGTGGCCACTGAAAAGTAACATATTTAACAATTTTCAAGAATGTATTTTGAGATTTTAACTAATATCAGGGCAACGTTTCTTTCCAAAGTTGTTATCAAATTTTGTTTGCTGAGTAGGGATCAAACCTGTGTTTACTTGGTATTGTGTACTAAATTTGAAACATTTGCAATTCATCTGGGTGTGCTGTCAGTGTCTGAAAAGAAAATTTAAATTGCTTTACACTAGTAGTAGTTACTGAGTACCCTGACTAGCAGTTATATTTCATCTGTGTTCCATTTTTTCTTTATAAACGTATTTATTTATTATTGTTTTTATTTGAATTGCAGGGTATGTAAGATTCTTAAATGACCGCAGAGAAACAGTCCGTGCGGAAAATCCAACTCTGCCTTTCCCTGAAATTACAAAGCTGTTGGCTGTGGAATGGAGCCAACTGCCTCAGGAGAAAAAGCAAGTAAGTGTAATGGTTTGCAATAAATATTAATTGGTTATTAGATCTTTATAATCTGTCATCTAAATATTTAATTATTGGATTTTTTACTACAAATTCCTCCCAGCATCTACTCATGTCTAAAAGATATTTGCTGGGGTCATGGACAGTGCAGTGTAAGATAACCAAAGAATGTTAAACTGAAGGTAACCCATCTAAAATGACAATACAAACTTCTCAAATTAATGATTCGTTTTAATGAACAGTAGTACACAAATTTATTTCGTCAATCGTAAATTGAAGATTTCATCCATTTCTAACTTTCATTTATTACAGAGCGTTCAGGGCAGTGAACGATTTTAATGACATATTGTATAACAGATGAGCGTCGCCTAAGGACCGCATCGCTCTCCGCTAAATATTCTTCCGCCAGTCAGCTGAGTTGCATTCCACAGCTGGTCGCGGTTGACTGAATTTTGTTGTTCAATGTAATTTTGATCGCGGTGGATGTTAGAAACAGTTTTCACGAGATATTCATTTAATTCCGTATCATTAATGATGAAAAATTATACTAAGTGATTCAAAACATTTCGAATACTCTTGAGAACATGTGTGATTGATTGAATTAAGTCATTAGATACAAGAATTAAATGGAATATACTGCAAAGCTCCCACGTAGGCTTGTAAAAAACTACCGGAATTCTGCCGTACTATTCGATCTTGCGTGTTTCAGAAGATTCAAATTAATGTGTGCTGTATAATGTTTTGCAGTTATGATATCTGGTGTTATAATTACGATTTCATTTTCACGTTGCTCATCTTATTCTGACAGCAATGTATCAATTATTGATCAGTGACATTCATTGTAATAATACTTAAATACTAAATTTGTTCAGTTGTTGACTAATGAAACAAGGCTTAAATGACATGTATAATTAACATAAAACTACTATGATTTGCTGTTTTCTTTTCATAATTTGGCTTCTCCTGATTGTACAATCTTGGAAAATTTTCAACTACATTCAAAGATTTCTTTGGGAAAAAGGGTACAAGTTAGTAGATATTCTGGAGTAGTTTGGCAGTATTCTCAGTTATTCAATTGATCAGTAACTTCAGGTAAATTTCTTAAATATGGAAATCAAGTCAGTCTTAAAGATAAAAAATGGGTTTGAAAACTGCTATAAATTATTGTACTCACCTGTCATTCAAAAGATATATAATAGTATATTCAAATTAATATAAGATAATGGTTTTTCATGATCACTGTGCAAGATTTAGCCTTAGAATGAAATTGAATGTTTCATACCTTCAATAACTTTTATTACTAATATAAAAGTCAATTAGAATATTAGTGAAAAGTAACATAAAAAACAAACATATAAGTGAAAAATAATTCCCTTTATTTGCATTGATTATTTATTTTGCATGATACAACATTTCCACCGAAATCCATTTGAAGTTCATAAATTTTATCCACTTAGATAATTTAAAGTCCAACTATACAAAATCAAAATTAGTTTTTAAGTCCTTTTAGAAAATATTCACAACCTACTATTAACATCTCCAGCCGCACTACCACATTTGCCAGGGTCAGAACTAAAAATTTTGAAATAAAACTTATACATTTGAATTTTACAGAGGATAAAACAATGAACCAATTTACGTATTTTATCTTCTTATATGACAACACTTTATTGGCTACAAGCAGTGCCTAACAGCCGATTTTGATAATTTAATAATGTATGCATTAAGATGTACAATACGAGAATCTAACATACTGCTCAAAAGATAAAACTTTTCTTTCACGAATCTGCATTCTAATTCTTTTTTATTAAAAGAACTAATTTTTCTATCACTTGAAGTTAATTTTTGATAAGTGTAAATGAATGTTTTTTAAAATATATTTTCAACCCATTCATTCACAATCAAACTTTCTTCACATACTTTCATTCACACATCATTTTATATGCTGATTCATATACATAAAAATGAACTCATATAACTGAAAAAACTTCTTTCTTTTAATAAATAAAATTAAAATTATACAATAATTACTAAAAAGAATTTACAAAGGAAGTTAGCATGTGCAACATAATGAAGTGTCTAGTTACATCTTCTGAGAAGTACGCCTTAAAAAAACACCTACCATACAGAGGCAAAAAGCAACATTACTTTGGGAAGCAAGCAAATGAGCATTTATTTCAAAGGCATATTTATTTCAGTAAGCTAGATCAGTTTAAAAACAAATAAAGTTTCACTGTTCACCTGAATGTAACTACTTACTCCGCTCGATGGAATAATAAAACTTTTAATCTGCACCTGAGAAGAACAAAGATTATTGTCAAATCTTTTTCAAACTTATGAAATATACTGCATTAACATGTAAATATACGCCATATCTCTCTTAAGTAGAGACACAAGAGCCAGGCACGGAACACATGAGGACGTTATCATCAAAGTCATCCTGAATATTTTACTATGACAGAAATCCTAAGGCATCCTGCCTAACTTCTACTTTCCAATCTTCTTCTATAATTTTCTCTTATGTGTGTCATAAAATTCTTCCAACTAAAGCAATGTACAGAATGAATAAGTACTTATATTAACAAATTTTCTGCCAAAAAAGACTCTAGACAATATTTTGTTTTCTTCAATCATTTCATCTACAATATACTGCACCACATCAACTGATATGATTTTTCAAATCATGAAAACATTGGCAATCACATTGTAAAAATCATGTAAAAATAAAACTGCCTTATCTATGATTAATTCAACAAAACGTAGTTTAGAGTACCTTTTGTGAACAATTACTTCAGAAGTTTTCAAAAGAAGACACTTAAAGTATGCTCAGGTCTTAACCTATGTAGTGCTGAGATAGAAAAATGCTGCAGGTCACCATTCTTACATTGTTGATGAAGGCCTTTCTCTTTCTAAAAATTGGAAATGACAAAAGGATATTTAAAATGTTTATTTATATTCAAAGACAATATGCATTTATTTTCATCTTCTCTTAAAATACATATTAAAAACTCTACTGGCAAAATTGATGTTCTCAAGAAAAATTGTATTACAGATATAACTAAAATCACTGAACACCATTGAATGTAATAAATTTATATTCCACCCTTTTAAGTGAAACATCAATTTTCAACACGTGTATTTTAATACTCGTTTTATATCAGGTATTTTTATAAATGAATAAATGTATAATTTCAATGAATATTTTTCACATTTCTAAAAAACAATTGATGAAATGTCACTCACCAGCACAGATTGAACAGGTGCATTGTCCTTTACAATAACTGTGTCTGCTATATCCAAGTAGTAATTCTTCTTTCATCCACTTTGGAACATCTCTGCTGTCGTAGTTCTATGATATTTATATACTTCTTTTGTCTCCGATGGAAAAAAGTTCTGCACCTTCGATGAAACCATTTGCACTCCTGCAATGACATATATATCTTTTACCTTCATCTAAATTTTTGCTTGAGCAACTTTCATTTTTTTCTTTCCATGACCGAGAGGCATAACCTAAAGATAGATTGTTAAAACAATTAGTAAAGATCTACTGAAATAAAATCAATTGAACCACTATGTAGGTGCTTCAAATTGGTCAACGATATTCATCATACACATAAGTCATTACACACATTGCTATTCTCAAAAGATGCAGTTCATTACATGCAAATCATGCCTTCCATTCCACTGAATCTAGAATTTCATAATTTTCAACACTACAAAATTTAGTAGATTTTTTGCTTGCCTTTTGAATAAGACCAAGTTTCATCCAAAACCACTAATTAATAACCCTTCAGTGTTCAGTTTCATATATTCCATCAAAAAGTCAATATTTTCAATAACTATTATCATTTCTTTCCACGCCAATGAAATAAAACTTATCATTCTTGTTACATTGAATAAATAATGTGCCTAATCAAGCCTGTCCAAAATCATCCACTACACATGTTTGTTCCATCTATTCCTGACACTCCTTCTAGAGTCTGAGCAGTATCAGGTCTTGCTTCCATATCTGTAAAATTAAATTCAACATTATCCAAAACAATTTCACCTGATACTTTATTGACATTTTATTGACTTTCATATGACACTTTATTATGATTTTACTTACTTTTGAACAATGTGAGTTTTCAGCTTCAATCATAGGTGTTTTGTAAATAATTTAAGAAGTTTCTATATTGGCCTCGCATCAGCTCTTCCACAAATCTTGCAATAAAAAAGATGTCTTCTTGGCACTGATGCTGGTGTCACTTCTCCCTTCTGCGATGGACTCATTGCTAAAGTGCTTTAAAAGCTATTGACTACATTAAATATTTACAACTTAATAGTATAATTAATGTTACATCTAATATTTCAATGAATTAAATATATATAAATATTAAATAAATAATGGAAATTCTCCAAAATTGTGGAGGTGAATCGTTCAAGTCTTCTCTCCCTCTGTCGACAATCTCACCAAAGGTTCAAACAGGCTGTGGAGAAGGCTCGGAGAGCGCCCCTCTCCGGGGTGTCCAGGTCAAAATACACAAAACAGTCATAAACACGCAAAAACTGTCCTTGAAAACTCGGGCAAAAGGCCAGCTCGGCCGCCAAACATACGAGAAGCCATGTTAGCTGCACTCTCTTCTGCAGTGAACCCTCCAAATTCTAACTGACACAGTGTGCATAAATTATTCACTTTTAAAAATAATAGTAACCTTGAATATAGTTTAGAATTCTTCAATTGATTTTTATCACATAATAAAATTTTTCATTGAACTTTCTCCTTTTCGGAATGACAATACATTATGTATGCGCCACGGGCCACTACACGTTAGCCACGTT